ATATATATATATATATATATATATATATATATATATATTTAAAGTAAGATATTTTAATTGCACTGGTTAAGACGCCGCTGTGTTAGGGGGCATTGAGGTGCCTGTGGGCATTTGGGGAGTCAGCTAACGAAGTAAAGTTGGAGACACATTTAGTTTGAGTTTAGTGGGGAACATCTATGTGTCTGGGTCACTTCCACATCAATTTCAGTTGCTGCCGGCCATCCCGGCGTGGAGGCAGCTCCCAGGCCTCCTACCACCCACTGCGCCATGGGTACAGGGTGGGACGTGGTGAAGAGAATGTGTCCCATGCAGGCTGACAGCAGACGCATGGGGGTTGAGGGGAAAACAAGGTTTGAAAGGTACAGAGCCAGAAGCTGGTCTTCTGGAAAGCTGGAAAGTTCTTATAATCCTCTGATGTATAAAATTACAAGTAGAGGATTTGGTTCTCAGGGCATAGTCAGAACAGAAATCAGGAACATACTAGATAATGCAACATTAATAATTATTAATGTATTTTGATGGATTGAATGCCCCGCCCCCATTTAGACATTGAAGCCCTAACACCCAGTGGGATGGTATTTGGAGATGGGGCCTTCAGGAGGTAATTCAGTTTAGATGAGGTCATGAGGATGGGGTCCTTATGATGGAGTTAGCGGCCTTATAAGAAGAGACCAGAGAGCTTGCTGTTTTTCTCTTTGCTGTGTGAGCATAGCCTCTGCAAGCCAGGGAGGGCTCTCACCAGAACCCGACCCGGCAGGCACCTGGTCTCAGACTTCCCGGCCTCCAGATCTGGGAGAAGTAAATGTCTGTTGTTTAAGCCCCCCATCTAGGGTATTTTGTTTTAGCAGCCCAAGCTAAGACACACATTATACTTCTTTTTTCTTTTTGAATGGGAATCACGTTAGAGAGAATTGTAATTCCTGCATTTGCAGACCAGAACCCCATAGCAGTACTACGAACAGCAAGCGTGTGTGTGAGGTGGCAAGCTTTATGCATCCCACCCAACGATATTAAAAAATAAATTTCAAGCAAGCACATGAGAGGAAATATTGAATTCTTCTACTCTCTCTTTAGAAAATATTACAGAATTATTTTCATTTTGAGATCATCAGAGTCTATAGCCGTATATGTAGGGGCAGATAAAGTATTGTAGAGACCTGCCAGTCAACGAATAGAAATCAGATTATATTCTGAATTTTACAGGGTTTGTGATGTAATTTGTGTGACTTCTTTTCTCATTCTAAATAATATCCATTTTGTCCCTAATTTTGATTTTGTAAATTGTGTGTTTTTTCCTAAATAGGCCCTCCTCCCAAACTGCATGCATTTCAGGCCCACAAGCCCTGGACCCATTTCTACCAGGAGGAAACAGGAATGAGGGATTGCTTCGCTTTTCCTTCTCACCTCGTCCACACTGAGCTGTGTGTTCTGTTATACTTAACATCTTCTGTCCTGGAAGAGGACCAGATGGCCCTACTCGTTCCCTCCCCGTGTGCCCCGATGGCCTCTGGCCCCTGACCCTACTCACCCACCTCTTCCAGCCCCTCTGTCCCCACCTTTGGATGGCTCTCCCCTGGCTCTCCCCTGTCACACCACAAGCACGCTCAAAAGTGTCATCCCCTGATTCTGCCCACCCCCTCCCTGCCTTCCTCTGTTTTAGAAGCTTCCTGACTCTTGCCCTCTCTCTCCATTAAATGTTTTGAAGAGAAGCTCCTATATGTGGGCCTCTGCTTCCTCATTCCCCACTGCACTGAGATCTGGTTTCTTGCAGCTTTGGGGAACCGTTCCCTAGAGTTGTCACTGCTGGCCTCTGGCCACTGGTCCTCATCCCAGGGGCCTCTCAGCTGCCTCTGCCAATGTCTTCACCACTCTCCCCTGCATCCTTTCGGTCCTGGCCCCCACGGCCAGTTCTCCTGGTTCACGTCCTTCCCCTCTGACCACTTGATCTCGGTTTCTTTTGCCACTCCCTCTCCTTCCCAGGTTCCCTTAAGTACCTACCAGTGTCCCCCAGGCTCCGGCTGCTTGTCTCCCCATCTCCCACGCTCTTCCTGGATATGCCTGTTGATTCTGGGACAAGTCTCTGCTTGACTCTGCAGTGAGATTTCGATTCCTGCGGTCGATCCTGAACTTTGTAGCCACGTTTCCAGCTTTCCACGGGAAAGCTCTAACTGCTTCTCATACCTACCATCTTCACAAATGAAGATCCTCCTCCCCATCCTCCCCAAACCTCTCCTCTCTCTGTGTTTTCCATGGTGGAAGGTGCCACCGTCAGTCACCCAGGTACTCTTGGAGCTTCCTTGCTTACCTCCTTCTCTCTTGCTTCTCATCACCAACCATTAACAAGCATGACTTATCTTACTTTTCAGTCAGGTGTTCTTTTTTTAAAAAAATATTTTATTTATTTATTTGACAGAGAGAAAGAGAGAGCACAAGCCGGGGGAGGGGGATCAGCAGAGAGAGAGAGGGAGAAGCAGACTCCCCGCTGAGCAGGGAGCCTGATGCGGGGCTTAATCCCAGGACCCCAGGATCACGACCTGAGCCGAAGGCAGACGCTTAACCAACTGAGCCACCCAGACATCCCTCAGTCAGGTGTTCTTAATTTTTTTTTTTTTTTGAATCATTAAACCTCTCGGCAGCATGGTGAAGACTTTGGATTGCTTCAAGAATAATGCTTTTTAGGGGCGCCTGGGTGGCTCAGTTGTTAAGCGTCTGCCTTCAGCTTGGGTCATGATCCTGGGGTCCTGGAATTGAGTCCCGCATTGGGCTCCCTGCTCAGTGGGAAACCTGCTTCTCCTTCTCCCACTCCCCCTGCTTGTGTTCTCTCTGTCAAATAAATAAAATCTAAAAAAAAGAAATAATAATGCTTTTTAGAGCATAAAATACAATACAAAGGATCACAAAGGAAATATTTTTTTGGAAATATGGTTTATGAAATTATAAAAAGTTTTGATATAGTAATACATGTAATAATGCACTAATATAGTATTAAATACTCAGATCCAATGTCAGGTCTAATTACCATTATTTTAAAGTAGTGATGAACACAAACGATACTCAGAGATACGCTGAAATGTGAAGTGAAAAATCTGTGATTTCTACTGATGATAGAGCCATAAATATTGCTAATGTTGCTACAGTAGGGTTTTTATATTAATCATCAGAGAATATGATACATTTTAGTAAGAGAAAGGTAAAAATAAAGATATAATGTTTCTCCCCTACAAGATTACAAACCCCTTGAGTTCTTTCCAGGTTAAGAATGCCTGCTTTAAAATGATCTCCGGCACTTGCCTCCTCTTTTCTGTTCCTGCTGCCACTGACCTAATTAGGGTCCTCTGTCTGCATGGAATCTCCACAGGCCCCTGATTGGCTCCTCCCCTCCCTTTGGAGCCTGATTTTATTATTGCCCTCTGCCCAGCATACCTGAGCCGAACCCCCCCCATCCCATCCCCTAAACTGGGTGCTGAGTATCAGGCCTTGTCTCCTCAGTAGAGCTCAGATTCATCTACCTTCTCCACCTGGCTTGACCGCCTCACTTCTCCATTAGATGGCTCACAGCCACCTCGCTCCTGCCCTAACTTTGCCTCACCCATCCTTCCAGAAGCACAGATGTCTCTAAAACCCAAATCTGATACGACACTCCATTGTTTCCAATCCTCTCCCCATCTTCAGTATAAAATTTGGGTTCCTTAGCATCCTGTGGCTTCTGCCCACCTTTCCACCCAGCTCCTGCAACTCTGTTCCAGTCACCTCTCACTTCTGGAGTCACCCAAACTGGAGGATAATTGGGGGTTAGAGCAAGGGCTCTGGAGCCAGACTGCCTCAGTTCAAATCCTGGCTGCACCGCTCATTACGTGTGTGACCTTGAAAAAAATCACTCCATCCTCCGTGCCTCAGGGACCTCAGCTTTAAAATGGAGCCATAAGAGCGCTTGCCCCACAGGGTTGTGAGAAACACACGCAAAGTGTTCAGAATGGGGGGGGGCATGATGTATAGAGAAGCTCAACGACAGAGGGACCCTGTTATTATTTAATGTTTGCCTCATGAGGAATGGACTTTCTCACGTTTTCTGCTTGGCCAACGGTCCTTTCAGACTCGGCTCAGGCATCTCCTCCTCCTGAGAACCTTCCGGGACCTGGGCTGGCGGGGCTGGGCGAGGCTCTGGGCTCTGTGGCCCCCACCAACCCATCACTTAACTGCATCCCGCACAGAATGTGTGGTCCTCTGGGTGCGGGATGTGGCTCCCTCCCTTTGTAACCCAGGAACTGCACAGGGTGGGTGTTGAGAGGCTGAATGGATTAAAGAGAGAATGCAAATCAAAGGACAAAGTGTTAAAACAAAGAGGAGCCAGTTCTCTCCTACTCTCCTGACAATTTGCTTTTCCAAGTATCGTATACAGCGTGGACTTACCTGACCGTTTTTCTGAGAGGTCCTGTCTGTAGTGAGCACTTCCCTGGCCAATTCTTGGGCCTGATAGCATCAGGCTTCTGAAAAAGAGGAAAAACCTGCAGTGTGTGGGGGGAGGGGGGTGCACAGGTCGCACGGCGACTAGGAAGCCCTCAGCCTGCTCCTCAGGAAATAGACATCCAAGGACAGGATAGTCACTTAATACTCTTTTAGCAAAGGAGACTACAACAGAGAGAGCAAGAATTGAAGCATAGTTTTAAGAACAGAAGAGAAAAACCTGCTGTGTGAGCCCTGGTGGAGGGCATATCCAGAGTGGCGATGACCCTGACTTTAGTCAGAGCTGTCCTCATTCTTTCCTTTTCAAACATGACAAAATAATTCATGTTTCTTGGGAAAAGGTGAAACGATGCAGAAGGGTAGAAAGTAAAAACGAACAAAAACCCCAAACTGCCTATTCCCCATGGCAATCTCTGCTTCTGTGCAGACTTAAAAACACACCCAGGGAGGCTTGCAGTTGTGTTCAGTAGGGCTACAGCCATGCTCAAAAAATCAGAAATGTAAAATTACGCCTGGATTTGTCCAGAGAGACAAAATGGATGGAAATGCTTACCACACTTTTTTTTTTTTTTTTTTAATAGCGGAAGGAAGAAACGATTTGAAATATGACACGTACCAGGAGCCCTTTCCATCAGAGATGGTCTGCGGTGTTGACTTTCGGCGGCGCCCCCCCTCGCGGTGACCCCGGGAGAAACGGCCCACGCTCAGAGCGCGGTCGGGAGGGCCCCGCATTTCGGGCCGCCCTGTGCGGTCAGGCAGCCTACGCCGCGGCCGCCAGGGTTCAAGTTCGAAAGGCCTGGGTCGGAGGCCCGCGGTGGGACGAGGGAAGGCTCGCGGCTTCAGGGCTGGGCTGGGCGCGGGGACCTGGCAGCCGAGGCGGGAGGAGGGACGTCGGCCCCGGTGCCACCTTCCCTGACAGCCCCGTCCCTCGTGCCCCCGGTGCGGGCAGGCGCGGGCGAGGGGAGGCCCTGAGCGCCGGGGCGGAGGCCGGCAGAAGCCACAGCTCGGCGAGCGGAACGCCGGGAGCCGGGAGGGCAGCCCCGGCCGGGTCTAAACTAAAACCCGGCCTGCCGGCTGAACAAAGGCCTCTTGCGAGGCGCAGCAAGGGGGGCGGCCCGGGGTGCTCCTTGCGGGCGCTTCTGGGGCCGCGGGGCGGGCCCAGACCCTCCTTGGCTGGGGTGTCATTGCCAACACCCGCTCGGGGTGGACCAGCCTGCCCTCAGCCAGCACCCCCATCCTTTGCTTCCGGGCGTCTCTCTCTCTCTCTCTCTCTCACCCTCGCTTGCGGGTGAAAGATGGATTGGCTGTGGTACCTTTGTGCCCGGAATGCCCAGCCTGCAGTGCCCACACAGTTTTCAGACAGGCAGGGCTGAGACCAATCTTCCTCTTTGGGGAGGAAGAGGGTTTAAAGGAAAGGAGCCCTCGGAAACCAATTTGCTCTAACAGTGTTGTCGGGGGCAGTCCACAGAGGGTTCTCCCCCTCTAGAGGCGGTCCTGGTCACCTCGTGCCCGCCAAGGAGGAGCTGGCTGGCTTTCTGTGGGGTGGGAACACCTTGACCCGCTCCCGGGCTTCACCTTGGACTAGTCAGAGCGACCGTTGTCAGCTTTAAAATGCTCCAACTCCCACGTGGATTAAAAAAGAAAAGGATCGCAGCGCCTGGCTGGCTCGCTCAGAAGTACAGCAGGCAACTTTTGGTCTCAGGGTTGTGAGTTCGAGCCCCACGTTGGGTGTGCCAAAATAAAAATTCGTAAGAAAAAGAAAATCGTCAGTAGGAAAAGCAAAAACATTTGGGAAGTAAGGAAAGTAAGCACTAACGGGGAGCAGAAAACATGCTAGAACAGAAAATTCTTCTAATGTTTAATTTTAAAGTCTTTTAAATAAAGTGTTTCTGTTGGGGTTATAGATGATTTTATTTTATTTTTTATTTATTTTTTAAGATCTTGTTTATTTGACAGAGAGAGACAGCGAGAGAGGGAGCGTGGGAGAGGGAGAAGCAGGCTCTCTGCCGAGCGAGCAGGGAGCCCGATGCGGGGCTCGATCCCAGGATATTGGGATCACGACCGGAGCCGAAGGCAGACGCCCAATGACTTAGCTACCCAGGAGCCCCGGGGTTATAAATGATTTTAAACAGCTAGCGGGCTAACTTTCGGCCTCCAAGCGGTTACCGTTGTTTATGCTCCTCATTGGCTCACTGCTGCCTCCCTGTGTCTGATCTGAAAATCACAACACAGTTTTCTGCTTCACAAATAAATGGTGGATCCCCCCTGCCCCACCAGTCCATTAACTCCCATGACAATAAATCACACAGAATTAAAGCAATGCTTAAGCTTGTTAGTGAGAGCTGTATGACCCAGGTGAGATTTTAATAAGTCTTTCGTTTTAGAAGACATCATTATATCACCTTTTTTCTTTTTTTCAATTCATCCTGCCTTTGCTGGGAGGATACATTTAAAATTTAATCCTTAGAGGGAGGGGTTATGATTATACTATCAATGTAAGTCTTACTAATGCTACCCCCTTGCAGAGAAACCACATGACTTATTCACTGATGTGCATTACATTATATTTTATACCGTTCAATAAAAATCCTATATTCAGGATGAGCGAAAGTTTGCACAAAAAGTCTCTGATGTGAGATAATTTCTGAAAAATGGCTCAAACAAATACACATCAAAGTACAACCTCCTTGTGCTCACCTGCTACCTTTGTCTTTAGTGAGCCGACAGGATCCCCATCTTGATGTGAACCAGTCTGCCTCTGTGGGTTTGTACTAAGCACCAATTCTTCCTGTTTCTTGCCCATCCGTGTAGTTTATTCCAGTTGCTTCTTGCTTCATAGAAACTGGGAGCCACACAGAATATCATGTTGTCCTGGATGGAATTTGGAAAATGCCTTCCATCCTGAATAGATCAAGGGATTGCTCCCTCTTGCAGAAACATCACCTGCCTGGAGGAGATGGCCTCTTGATCCTAACACTCATCGCAGATTCTTTCTATACTGCAGGGGCAGCCCTAGTGTCACTCACTTCCCAAAGTCACCTGCCACCTGCAACCTTCTGTGGTTCCCGAGTGCTTGTCTGTGGGTCTTACCGATTTTTCGCTGCTCAATCCAAAAATAGCTCTAAGGGAGAAGACGTGGGCTTTACCTCCTCCAAAGTAATCAAACAGATCTAGTCAAATTTCGTGCCCACATAGGATGCTGTAGCTTCCCGAAGGTAAATTCTCTTACACCCAAACCCATGTCTGCTCCCAAAGGGAAGCTGTGAAGGGCATGGAACGGATAGCCTGTATTACCGAACACATCAAGTTTGTGTGTGCCCACCTGGGTGATGTTGAACTTGTTCTTCTCTCTGGCTGGAACTCTGTTCTCAAGTCTTGTTATTAAGATCTCAGATAAAATAGTCTCTCCATGACCTGATTTCATTTTAATAGCACTTAGCTGAATTTGTATTATGTGCTTATTTGTATGATGAGTGTTTGTCTGCGCCCTCTAGAATGTCAGCACCATAAGAGCAGGGAAGGTCTTTGCTTTGGTTAACATTGAATCCCCAGCACTCAGAACAGTACTTAGTGCATACGCTCAATAAACGCTTTTAGAATAAATACAGAATAATGCAGAGTTTCCCTAACCATCATCTTAGCTCTTGAGATCAGGAGCCATACCGTATAATTTCTGCTCTTCTCCACAATGCCTGGCATGGCATAACATGTGCAGTTGGATTTGTAAAAATGCTTGTTGAGTGGGGTTGCACAGGGGAAGGGGTGCGTGTCAAATCCTCAGATGGGTCAAAGGCGGAGTGGAGCGGGACCCCACCTTTATGGAGGGCACGGCAGCCGTACTAAGCTTGCAACGTGGCGCTGGGTGGGGAAGGTAAGAATAAGGCAGTGCGCCCACAATAGGCCACTAGGCCTTCTAGCGCTTTTGCCTGTCTTGGGTTCTATTTTCCCATCATTGTGCAGTTCAGAATTTTACAGGTGTGAATCAGAGAACACCAGAGGGGCCTCTAGAAAATGTATGGTGACGGGGACGTTGGGATTTTGTCGTGCTGGACTGGCTGCTGAACAGATTCAAGTTTTCCAGTTATTGATTCATCTTGCAAAAGACTTACCGAGCACCTGCTTTGTGCCAGGCGTTACGCTAGGTGCTGGGGACCCCCATGCTGTTCCCCACTTGACAAGGAATGTCAAACACGGCGAGGATTCCTGATTCGTATATTGTAAGACTACAGGATCGTATGCTAAATCCTGTAGCCCCTCTGTTTAAAATGCCCTATAGCCCCTCTGTTTAAAAATGCCTTAGCAGGTCACCTCACAGTGCTATTCAACACTCACCTCTCTGGGGCTGCTGTTTGCTAAGTAATTTGTGGACTGCTGGGTTGGGAGGGCTCCTTTGGGAGTTGCTATCCTTTTTGACACTTAGCAGGCAGAGGAGTGAAGAGCATCCCCTGCCCCGTGCGCCCCCCCCACCCCCAGCATTCCTTTGTCTCTCACACCGTGGGGAAGGGAGAGAGTCTCCTGTGATGTCAATTTTTAATTCCTTTTGGTTGGTGACGAAATAGAAGAGATGGGCCCTATGGCTCCTCTGTACATCTGTGTATGTATTAGTATTTATCAGTCATTAAACTTCTACGTTAGTCTGTAAGCCATAATGCTGATGATTGTATTTTTAAATGAATGCATGCAAATACACCGAGGAGCCGGACAAAGACAGTATTGCATACATTCATTAATAAATAATCTCAATACTATGCATTTGCAGGCTGAAAAATTTTTTTAACTTCAAAGAAGAGCTTTCATATCTATGATCTCATCTCATACTGCATATTATTATTTTAAAAGTCCTCTCTAGGGACAGGTTGTTCCGTGCATGCAAAGGCAGGCCGGGCGAGGATAATGAAGCCCCGCCTTAGGCTACCTGACATCCCTCCACAGGGCAGTCCAGCGCGCAGGCCCATCGGGTCTCGTGGGGTCTCTCCAGGCTGGTTTAAAAACTAAAGGCAAAGATGAAAAAGTACGCTAATTTCAAGCTGCGCTGGGAGCACATAGACGCTCGGGGCATGAACAGGGGAACTAAGGAAATGAGGCTCCTTTCAGGACCGACTTTGGAGATTGTACAAATAATGAGAAATAGATGACTTCAAACTCCTGTCAGGCATCCAGAAAGCCCAGAATTGGAAATCTCTGCTCTCCTGGGGTTGCAAAGCCAGTTCCTGTTTATCCTATCTACAGCTGTGACATTTTTTCCTGTCTTCCACAATTTCTCCAGGAGTGTGCCTTCATTTTCAGGAAGATGAATACATTTTCACCTCATCGTTTAGCTTTTCCTGCTGGGTTTCCTTGGGAGCGAAAACCCCATGTCATTGTTTCCCTAAGGTTGGGCTGTGGTTATGGAAGTGCCCTCCTCTGAATTTGTTAGAGGGACATTTTAAAAATAACTCAAGTAGAAGTAAAAAAAAAAAAAAAAAAAAAAAAATCCCTGCTGGTGAGACTCTCCCCCAACGCTGTCTGTGTTGTCCGAATGCCAAGCCGTGGTGTTTGTACTTCACAAAAATTCAGGCCGCGTCGCCTTCCCTTGAGTGGACACTGTAGAGATTGCTTCAGAATCTCCTACCGGGCTGTCTGATGGGTTGACCGGGCACTGTGGGTGGTGGTGGATTCTTCCACCCTGATGACTCAACCAAGCAGAAATAACTAACCTGTGATTAACTATTTTAATTCTTGTATTTTCCAGGGTAAGTGG